CTCCTTTCCTTTCTCTTCTGGGGGAGGAAAGGGTTAATAGAGAGTATCTGTCCTCTGCTCTAATTGCCAGCCCAGTCTTAAACGGTGACAATGGCTACTGCAGAAGGTTCAGTGCTATCTGATACTGTTAAAAGATTTCAGAGGCGTCTCTGAAGTAAGACACATCTGGGTCACCATTTAAAGAAACCTCTCCAGAGACAGGAGCTGCCTCATGGCCCTTGTGCAGCTGTATAACTTGGTGTTTCTGTCTAGGTTGAATCCATGTTCTGTCCTTTATTTCCCATAATGACATATGAGGAATGATGAATGGCATTGCAAAACCATTTAGACAGGACAAAGACCAGAAAGCTAATGCAATTTTCTAAACAGTGTCAAAATTGTAATAAATCCTGTACCTCCAGTTACTATGGAGAGATGTAATAGTGATACTTACTTTTCCTGTCAAGAGTATTATTTACAAAATCCCAGTTGATGTACAGAAACTTGTCCCAGGGGCTGGGGATAAATAAAAGGTATCTTGCTAACATATGCTGTTCTTCTAGCTTCCTGCTAGTAATCATTTTGTTCCATTTGTCTAGCTCCCTATAGAACTATAACCCAAAGAGTGGTGAGCACAGGAGATAATGAATGGAAGTTGACATGTCAGTCAAAAGGATACCCACAAGCTGAAGTGATATGGCAAAACAGAGATAATGAAGATTTGACTGATAAGGCAAACACAAGTTATGAAACTGGAAGTGACCAGCTGTATCTCGTGACCAGTACCCTTACAATCAAAAGCAGAATTGATGAGATCTTTTGTTGTATATTCTGGAATAAAGAGCTGCAAGAAAATACGTCTGCCATTTTACACATAGCAGGTAACATTTCTAAATTCCATTTATAGCAATACACTTCAAGGTAGTATGTCATTTTGTCCCAGTTGAATCAGTCATGATTTTTTTCTCTTTGCTATCTAATTTTGAAAAGGCTAATAAGAAATACCTGTGTTGTTAAGTTTTGCTATTAGTGTACATTTCTACCATACTAACATGTTCATCATGTATGTGTGGACAGAATTCAAGGACAGGAATTTTGCATGACCTACAGTTATGTGAAAATTGAGTATTAAAAAAAGTTCTATTATTTGAAAAGCATATAGCTTGAAGCCTAGAAATGAAACCCTCCCAAAGAAATTAAACACACCTTCCAAGAATGTTCTGTTTTGCTGATGATAACTGTCCAATAAATTTGAACAATATGGTCTTTTCCTGCCACTACAGCCTTTGCTTTGAGAATATTTAAATTTAACAAATTGTACACAGATTTTTTTTCTCATAAAGTCTGGATGGAAGGATGATGCATGAATGGAGAAGACCAATACAATTTCTCATTAGACCTTTTAACTGGGCACCACCCCTACTGCTTTTGCTTTTGGTTACTCTTAATTTCTGCATTGTACCCTGATAGGTTTGCACAAGCTTTCAACCAGACTGGAGACCTGATCCAACTCAAAAAAAAGATTTCTGTTTATCAGACTGTTGCTTGGTCAGGTCATTTCCCTGGTCTTGTTCACCACACAGTTTTAAAAATGCCTATGCTGGCACACTTCTTGGGACTGACAAGGGGTGGGAACAGGCAGCTGAGAGTGAGAAAGCCAAGTCATCCTTTCCATGAGTGATGAGCAGGCAAGTTTGGTTTTAAGAAGAAATGCTCTGGGATTCAAGGAGGCTATTTATCGTTTGTGTTCTGAGCTTTACCAGAAGAAAGGGACTCTGTTCTCTTTCTTAGTCAGCTCTTTCCTGTAGTCCTAATGGGAAACTAAGCTGGATATAACACTTTGTACCTTGGTGACAAGCAGGATTTGTGACAGGAAGCAAAGGCACTATGGCATGGAATGCAGGAACCAAGGATAAATATGAATATGTTCTATGTTTTTTTCCTTTATTGGGATGAGATATGGTGACGTGCACCATCAGCACCTGACCTTAGATACAATCTCAAATGCTGTTACCACGTCTGAACTGCTCATAGCAAAAATAGTACGGTGAAACTGAAAGGAAAAGGGAGCAGCATATGCAATTATGTAATGTCCTTCCCCCCCCTTGTTTTTCTCAAAGATTCAGCTGACGGTGTTCTGTGGACTGAGAGCAGACGCTTTGTTGGAGCAATTGTCATCTTGACTGCTTTCTTTGGATCAGTGCTTCTATTTATGCTCTGCATAAGAAAAGGTATTCAAATTATTTATTTTAGTGTATCTCAGTTATTATCAATCTGTTCTGTTAATTCATCCTCACAGACATGGAATGAGATAATAGAAGTCTGCCTTAGATCTTTCATTCTGAAACCATTAAATTTTTTACCACATTGTTTATTTCTTTTTCTTTATCTGACTCAGTTAAATACTAGCAAGTTAGTGTGGAACAGGTTGTCAGCCCCTCACAAACCACTTACCCATGCATGTCTATTAATTTTTCTTATAGGTAATGATGTAGAGCAGTAAGATTAGTGTCTAATCTATTCAAACATCAAAGCACAGCTTATCCACCTACTAGAAATGGAAATTTCCTATTCTGTGTCTTCCCTTTTGATTGGAGACCAGAATGCTGGGAGCAGACAGGGCACTGGAGGTTTTTCAGGGTTTTTTTTCCTACAATTTCTGAAAAATTTCACTGAACTATGAACACATGTTTTTTTAAGTGATCTAATTGTTATGAATTCTACATATATCTTTATTCTGGTTAAAACACCATAAAAATGCTGGACTACATGTGAAGTGATACGTCCAAGCTTTGAGTCTGAAAGATTTTTTTTTTCACAATAGGGAATATTCCTACTGTAGCTTCATACCACTTCATTCCTTTCCTTGTTAACTTTTGAGCTTTTTCAGTTCACTTCACTGACTTGAATTGGACATTTTCAACATGACAGTATGCTGAAGAGCTAAAGCATTGGCAGTAATTTGTTTTCACTTGCTAGCTAACCAAAGAAAAAACTTCAAGAAATAATTTTTAGTGTATCTGAGCATGAAAAGAATATGGTTTGCCCTCAAATTAAAGAAAAAATGTTTGAAACATGTTGCTTAACCTGAAATAAGTATTGTTAGGGTTTTTTCTTCGTTTGGTTAGTTGCAGTTTTTTTCTCCTTGGAAGGAAGGTAGGTGTGTTTGAGGATTTTATATTCACGGGTATTTTTTACTCTTCCTTTTAACAGATACAATAAAGTCATGCAGATCTCAGAACATCCATAGGACTCATTTGAAAATGTCAAAAGGAAAGTGTTTTTGCTGAACATTCTGGTTTTGGCCAGAACTCTTCCTCTCTATAACAAATCTGTGGATTTTTTTAGCTGATGCATAGCTACTTCTTTTTTTCCAAATAACTTTTTGAACTTTTTTTTTTTTTGTTAAGTTGTCTGCAGGGAAAAAGTACAAGAGGCATTGAAGCTGATACAGTACTTGTAGCATTATAATATCATACTGGCATGACTCTGTAAATTATTACCAGAAATGCTCCTAAAACCTGAACAAGATAGTTGACTAAATAAATGCTTCTCTTGAAATTCTTGAATTTTATAGGAGATGTAAATGTGTGTAGCTAGCATGAAACTCAGCTGGAACTAAGGCAAAGGCTAGTTGTACTGTCTTTTCAAGTGGTATCTCAAAAGCTTCCACTCTAGGAGAGGTGTACTTTCTGAGGCAGTATAGTGGAACTGTTAGGTTTCCTGTCTGCCAGCTCTCTTTTCCACAGTGAGAACCAGAAACAGCCCTAATTTCTGTCTGGGAATTACACAAAACCATCTATAAGCAAACTGTACACTGAGCGTTCATGTTCAAGTTCCATAAAATAAATACAAGAGAGAACTAAATATGAATATTCAGTGTTTTGCTTGCAAACTCATCTCCTGCATTGGTGCTATGGAGATGTGTACTGGAAGAAGTCCTTGTAAGCTTAACAGGCTTGCAGGTGATGCTAACAGGCTGCAGAAGGCCTGTAGATAACTCTGCATGTATAAGAATACTCTTGTCCTAAGAACATGATAGGACTAGGAGCAGAACATGAAAGTGGAAGAAGGGACAGCAAAATCCTTGACTTCTCAGAAGATTCCCACTGGGGATTTCAGTGAAGGTCAGAAGTTTCCTAGGTTGCTTGAGTAATATTTATTGTTTGTGTATACATGATAATGTATATACATGTCATAATGTGTATTACTATCATGATTATGTTATATAGATGTGTGTGTGTGTGTGTCATAAACTACATGTTGATTCCAAAGTTAAACTAGTAGCAACAGGTTTTTGTTTTAAAACCCAAGCTGTCCTCGATGACCAAACAAGTGATTCTTTCAGAATAGAACCTCAAAAAGCACTGAGAACGTGATCCCCTTCTTGTTCCCTGTTGCCCAGTATTTTCAAATGCTAGGTGAAATATACAATGGAAAACGATTTGAGCAAGTATTTTCCAGTCATGTTAGTGTATAGTATCAATGGAGTTCTGGCTTAGGAATGAGGAAAGGAAATTGGAAAGGAAACTGACAGACTGGGGACACTGAAGAAAATATTTTAAGGTCTTTGAAGAAATGGGGTGTTTTGAGAACAAATGATTACACTATTCTAAGTGTGCCCTTCCCACCAGTGTGCTTAAGCCCCCATTAGATCTAAAGTAAGTATTTCACTTTCTTTTTGATTTTTCTCTTATTTTCTTTCAGCTAGAACATATAAGGACAACAGAACACCTGTCGATAGTTCATCAATAGCAAGTATGTACATACAGCATAAATCTAGCTCAGTGTGATTCTTGTGGAAATAATTGCTCGAGAATTTACTTTGTAACAGTGACATCCACATGCAGGTTTACATTGAACTTTCATTTTCCTTTCTACTTTTCATTTATGTAGCAACTATAAATTCCAGTTGAAGAGTGACTTTGTTACTATGTCAACTTCTTGAAAGGAAAACATGAAAGAAAAGCATACTTTGTTGTATAGTTTCATTTGGAGACCACTTCAAATTAAACTGCTGTGTGAAAGCTAGTTCATATTGGCAGTTGGGTTTTTTTTCTAAGAAAACCTCTCTTGAGAATACTTGCCCTAAATTGATACAATATTTGGTATTAATCTCTTCTGATCTGCATTTAAGTTACATAGTTCCTGCACGGCCTGAGATAGCAGCTTTTAACAAAGATTTATCACTACATGAGAAGTTTAAGCTATGCTGACTGTTATCTGTATGTATGTCGTTTGTTCAAAGAGCTATCAAAAGATAAGGATACACATGACTGCAGAGATGCTTCTTTTGAAGACAAAGAGCTGAAATGTAAGTATAAATGATAAAGGAAAAATAGTAACAGATTGCAGCATAAATCATCCATGGTCACCAGAGCCTTGATTCATGGCTGGTTTATTTAGTCCCTTGTTTCAACAGACAGAGCCTTCAAGAGAAGTACAGCCTCCTATTCTGTCTTACAAACTCACCATCATAACTCATTGTGTACTGGGAGTTATATCAAATAATTAATCTAGTTTTAAAAATAAAAGGAAAAGCCTTGCAAAGGAAAATGTGATGTGGAGATATATAACAACCCAAATTAGTCTCTTCTCTATCTCACGTTTTCGCTGTACAAACAGTTGTGACAGCACAACTGAAGGAGTGGTGATGGCAACGGGGAGAGAGGATTTAATCCATCATCTCCATTCAAGCAAGTCTCAAGCCATGAGATTCTGTCTCAGCAAAGCAAGAAAATAAATGACCAAATCTCTGAAATCTTTGAAACATACTGTGATATGGAACAGGAAAGTGAAGTTATTGAGGTTTTTCTTTCACATTCTTGCTGACTTCTAAAGCACTTATTAATTACATCCTAAATCCCTCCCTACTACACTTTACTGTAGTAAACATAAACAAAGGTAAGCCTGCTGGTCCTGCAGGTATAGATCACCAAGTCAAAGACTTAGGGCCTCTGGACATGCTGCTAGGGATACCAACAGATAGAGCACTGAATGTATTTGAGACTTTAAAAGAAGATTTTAAAAGAATGGGGGACCTAAGCCACAGCAATTTCACTGTATTTCCTAAAGAATACTTCCCACCAGTGTCTTTGAACTACCACTTTATTTCCTTCCATGATCATTATCTTTTTCTGTTTGACCTTTTAATTAATTTCATTTTAGATCTTTAATTTTTACAATGAAGGAAATTTTTTTTGGTGCCTTCAAACTCTAGGAAAGAGTCCCAAATCCATCAAATGTTCTGTGATTTCATCAGTTTGTAATTTGATAATTTTTTCATATAATTCTTCCTTTTACAGATATGCAACTTGAGAAGACCTAGAGAAAGTAGGGGAAGCTTTTTTTTCCTCTTTTTTCCTCTGTGTTCTGTCTACTAAGGGGGATATTAATTTTTTGGTTTTGTTATCTGGTGGCAATCTTCTATATCATAACTCAGGAAAAACTGCAATGAAGTTAATAGAATTATTATAGCATAAAAAATCCTTGGATTCAGGCTTCTGTATATGGAGGTATTTATTGGAATATTCAAGTTCCTGCTTTCTCAAGTTTATGCACTTTCAAAGACACATTTCATTAAAAATATCTTTAAGGTAAAGCACTTTAGGTCTATGACCATCATGAATTTCATAGCTAGCTATTGAATAGGCCATCTTCTGGGCTTCCTTTTTTTTTTTTTTTTTTTTTTATTTCCGCTCACCTAAATTCTCAGTTCCCTGCAGAGATTTTGTTTTCCATCTTTTGAAGAATTTTTTCAACACTTTGATCCTTGTAAAAGATAAGGGTGCAACAAGACAAGATGCCATTGTCATCGTTTAAGACTCGGCCAGCGCTTAAAGCAGACGCTCTCTGTTAACCCCGGCCTTTCCCAGAACGGGAAGGGGAGGAGAAAAGGGAGAGAGACTGATGGGTTGGAAACTTAAAACAAACTAATAAAACAGAAACAGTGAAAAATAGTATAAATAATATTAATACTAATACTACTACTAATAGAAATAGAAATATGCAAAACCGATACTGATCTTCCCGATGCTGCGCCGCGGCAGCTCGCAGTGCTCACGCGGCAAGGCGGGCACGCGGATGTCCCAGACTGGACTCCACAGCAGGTGGGAAACCAGCTTCAGGAATGCACGGATCGGGGTCGGAGGCAGGGGAGCGAGCAGGGTCCCAGCAGGATGCCGGCCATAAAGGAAAGAGGGGCTGACCTCCATGATCCCTGAGTACTTTACACCAAGTATTCTCGTGGGTGGGATGGAATACTGCATTGGTCAGTCCGTGGTCACTGGTCCCCTCTGCGGCTTCCTGGGGGTGCGACCCTTTTCCACCTCCCCCCACGAGGAGCCCAAGAGAGCTGGCAGGGAACAAGCACACACCCATGGGCCTTTCTGCATAACAATCCTGCTTCTGCCCCAGCAACAACTACGGACATCAAGCACCATCAACTTTGAAAGCAGGCACTGCCTGAAAAACCCATAGTCAGCTTCAAAAAGTGCAGTCACTGAGAAGAACTTAACTGAAGGAAAATCTACTGAAAGGAGAAATGGTCCCGTTTTAGCCAAACCAGGACAGCCATGGAGACAGGGCTTTTTCTGTCCTTACTGTTGATCTTAAAATACTGGATACTCATAACTAAGCTTGAAGTAGATGCTGTAACCCTGTTGGCAACGATGGTCTGGAAATGCTGAGCTTCTTGATCTCTTTCTCTGAAAAGTGTTTTGGGGATTTAATTTCCTTGTGATATAGCTGGCACTACTTGGTTACTGCTCATTACTCTTCTGATTTACCATTTGGGGATAATGCAACTCTTCAAATATTCGAGAAGAACAGCTCTTGATTTGGACTGCCTCTTTGTTCATCTTGGGAATGGAAGAAAGAGAACCTTCTTACTTCTAGGACATGAAGTACATGCTCATGTGATTACTTAAGAAATGCTGAGGGAACATGCACCTGGATCCCATTTCTTAAGCTATTGCTTTGTCACATTTTGCTAGGCGCATAGCTTTTTTGGGGGTCATACACAGATGAAAATTATTTATTTCAATGCTATTCAGTTATATTTTTTTAATAAAATACGTTTTATTTTTCTTGTGTTTTTTCCTGCTCTCTTTGACTTCTCAATGAGTACTTTAGCACTATTTGTGCTTTTTCTGGGAAAATCAGGTATCTGAGATCTGTGTGTAGAACAGTGTCTACACCCATGTCATCCCTCTAATGCCTCCCACAAAGAAGAGACTGGAGAACTGGAATCTCATTGGACTCAGGCTTCATTTTTCAGTTTAAAATAAATGAGTTAGGACTCACAGTCCTAAGAATGTGAATACAGCCCTCGGGCCAAGGACTTCACTGCTGGCAGTATTCTTTCTAGCTGATGTAAAGTTGTGTTAAATACATCTCAGCAAGCTGTCCTATATAGGAGGATAGAGAAATGCATCTCATAATCATATTGGAGTTGGTAGAACTCAGTTAAGCAAAATAGTTACTATAAAGTGATTTCCCTAATTCATTGCAGAGCTCGCATATTCTGATACTGATTCTTGCCGTTTGATTCTTCAAGGATGCGTGAAATTGAACATCACCTCCTACTTCCCCAAAAGCTTTTTGAGGCCACAGTCCAGGTGTCACTGGAGGTGATGACCCATTTTTAATTATTTCTGGAGTGCAAGAATGGCTTTGGAGATATTAGGGCTCTTTGTAGAAAAAGCACTGACTCTCCTCAGCACACAAATGTAGTTTCTTATCACCATGTAAATACATCCCCTTCCAGACAACCTCTTCATTTTCTACTTCCTCTTTGAGACTGCAACCACTGTTTGCATGTTAAAGTAAAAGTGAAAAGTCTACTTCTTTTAGTTATTATCAAGTTTTGCAAGGCAGTGCTATTAGTGCATGCTTAGTATGATGGAACTGAATTTGATATCTTTATCAAGCTCCACCGGACAGCAGGAACTGTTACATTTGTCTTTTCCCAGCAGGAGAAAAGGTAAGTTACTGTTGACAGTGCTGTATGTCAGCTGAGTAAGGTAATGAAATGAGGGGATATAAATATATTTTTAAATTCTGTAGCTGAACACTACTGTCCAAAATGCCAGTGCTTGAATTCGTGAGTGGTTGATAGGAAACTTGAAATTTTGCTGCTTCATTAGAAAAGCAGCATGTGTGGTGGCTAACAGATGATATGGAAAGACCTATCCTCTCTAAATAAGCTCTACTTTATATTTCTCTGACATCCAAACCAGAACTTGTGTAATCTAAGTTTAGTAATTTTACAAATTAGGCTTTTAGGATAAGCTAAGTCTCTCAGCTTCATTTTTATGAATTCAGGGAGACAGACCCACATGCTCATCCTCCAATGCCATGAGTTGTTTCAGCACAATTACTTTCCACTTGTGACAGAGGGAGAATACACACCTAACTGAAAATATGACACATTTAGGTCATGAGAACTAGGTAAAAGGAAATCCTTCCTATCCTAACACACAAAAAAATGTAGTTAAACACCATAGTTGTAACAATATCTTTTCCTTCAGTTAACAATTTTTGCATGCTACTTCAGTGGTTTTGGATATCTGGAAAATTAAATCCAGCAGGAAGCTAGAGCAGACTCAGCTTTAGTAAGCTGCATTTTGCTTCCTAATGGTGAAGCATTGTCAGATGCCCAAAAGTGCTCAGAAAAGCCTGGTTCATGTGCACAATCTAAACTGGCTTATTGGTATTTGACTTCAGGACTCATTCACTGGAAAAATGTTATTATGAACCAGTCAGGTGGCCTGTTTTGTGATGTGGCATTTAATTTTGTAGAATATGAATGCTATTGCTAATAACAACTACATTAAAGAATAACTAATAACAAGAAAAATAGAATGATTGCTATTGACCTGCAGGGGTTTCCATGGAGCAGCATGCAGGATGTGTGTCTCTTCCTTTTTGGCCAAAAAAGTAACTTTAATGTCCTTGAGTGACTTGTGCCAATGGTGCATCATCCAAGCATGGGCTAACCAGCAAAATGGTGGAGATATTAACAGTGGAATTTCTGCTTTTGCAGATATTAACAGTGGGACTTCTGGATTTGCAGCACCGTCTCCCCAGTTCCCTGTGCCTCCTCTCCATATTTCTCCCGTCCTAAAATCTAGGTGATTGTCCCACCCAAGTCCCTGCCAGGTACTGCTGGGTTCATGAGATGCCCAAGGCAGGCCACTAGCTCTTGGGCAATTGCACTGAGCTTTCTGTCCCCCGGTCCCAGAACAGGAACACACGAAGAATACTTATTGTAGCCAGACCTGGCTCAGAATGAGTAGAAGATGGTGACGGTGACAGTGAACTTTGGGGTACCTTTTCTGTGTGGTGGGAAGGGAACAGAGAACACTTTGTTTTCCTTCCAGAAGTCTCAATACCTGCAGGGAAACTAGACACCTAGATGCAGGGGAGGTAGAGATTCCCCAAAAAAGTGAGGAAGTTGTGGATAGGGTAAGCAAGCAAGGGGCTAGTCAGAAGAGAAGAAACATACCAATCAACAAAACAAGGCCTCCTTGAGCATGTTATGCAGGTAGAGAGTCTTCCCTGGTAGGACCCTGGTATTCTACAAAGGCTTTTGCTGGGAATCACCGGGACTCCAGCTGGGATGTGCATCTTTTACAATGTCTCTGGCAGAGGGTTATCTCCTGCCTTTCCCACCTCAGAAAGCCTATGGGCTCTGCACAACTTGCACATCATTCATATTTTTCTGCCTTTTTCTTTATTTTACTATTAATAAGTCCTTTAAAAAATGTTATTAATTGCAAGGTGTGTTTGCATAAATACTTCTCCCTAAAAAGGCTATTTGTCTTAGCATGGAAGGCCACAAAGCAAACAAGGCCTTTGAGAGCTGGTGGCAGGTAGAGGGTGAAGATGGAGTTAAGAGAAACACTAGGCATAGGCATCAGTCAGGAAGAAGTGACTTAGGAAGATTCAATTCCCCCAATCTCACACACTGAGAAAAAGAGCACAGATCTCAGCTTGCTGCCCTCTTTTCCCCTTTGATTTTACTGAAAGTGTTAGGACATCAGGCAAATTTGATTTTTAGTGTAAATCATCAATCAAAGTCAACTCTGGCCCTATGGACTTTTCTCTCTCCTTCAAGTGTCCAGTTATCCAAATCATTCACTTCTAACAGCTGCCAAAGAGGTCACTGGAGTTTTTCTTGAAAAAGTTCAGGCTGCCCAGGAATTACTTTATGTGAGAAAGCTACACAGGATAAGTTTACTGAGGAAAAAAAAAAGGTAGTATAACGGTAGTTTCATTGAGATGAATTGCTCTGCACCAGGCAGGAGGAGACATGATTTCACGGTC